GAAGAGGATGCCAGATCAAGCTCAGTTTTCAGGGGGTTCGGGCAAAGGCCCAAGGTATTTGATTCTAGGTTAAGAGCCAGCTCGGTCGGAGTTGCTATGGCAAGTATGACAAGATAGACGATGGGACATGCAGGGTGGGTGGTTATGGTTGCTTCAAGTGCGGCCGGACGGGTCATAATAGCATGGATTGTATTGCTACTACCACCACCACCATCCCAAAGTCTGATCTGATTTGCTTCCATTGCAATCACAGGGGCCACAAGAAGGCCCATTGTCCAAGTTTGACAGTAGCAGGACCAATGGTAGCACCTGCTCCAGCGATGCTGAGGAACACCAATGGCTGCCATGGCAAGGCGGATGCACCTGTGGTGAAGAGCAGGGCTTTTCAGCTGACGGTCGAGAAGACTCGCGCAACACCTGATGTGGTGAAAGGTATGTGTCTTCTCTTTATCTTTTTATTTATATTATATTTCCTACTTATATTTATGTGTTTTATTTTAGTATTGTTCCTCGTGAACAGTATTTCTACCTTGGTGTTGTTTGATTCTGGGTTTACCCGATCTTTTGTATCACTTGTGATTAACGAGAGATTTGTTGGAGCTCCGAGGGAGCTGGATTGTCCTTTAGACATCGAGATTGTAGATGATCGATATTTCCAGGTATCGAGGGTTTATCAGGGTTGTGTTTTTTAGATGTTTATTGAACAGTATCTAATGGATTTGGTTCTTATTCCTTTACATGAGAACAAGGTTATCATAGGGATGGACTGGTTAAGCCCCAATGAGGCATTGATTGATTGTGAGCATCAGTTGGTACGTATCTGGACCCCAAGTGGGAGAGAGTTGGTGGTTCTGGGAGAGAGAGCTTAGCATGGGCCAATTCTTTGTTCAGTGGCTAGGGTCAGTCGCTATCTTTCCAAATTTATCGCCTATGTTATGGATACCTAAGATATGGGTAAGGTGACCGTGGATGATGTACCGATTGTACGGGAGTACCTGGATTTGTTTTTGGAGGATTTTCCTAGGGTGCCTCCGGAGAGGCAGATGGAGTTTAGGATTGACTTGATTCATGGTGCGGCACCGATAGCCAAGGCACCATATCGGTTAGCTCCTCCAGAGATGCAGGAGTTGTCTACACCGTTGTAGGAGCTGTTAGACAAGGGTTTCATTTGACCGAGCAGTTCGCCATGGGGATCGATAATCTTGTTTGTGAAGAAAACGAACGGGTCTCATGGGATGTGTATTGACTATTGGGAGCTGAATAAGCTAACATTGAATAACTGTTATGATGTTATCTATTCCTGAGTATTGACGCTCTGTGTGACCAGCTTCATGGTGCTTCTTGGTTTTCACGAGGAGGGAGAGGCTTTATGTGAAATTCTCCAAATGTGAGTTCTAATTTTGTGAGGTGCAGTTCTTGGGGCACATCGCCAATCAGAAGGGTATATTGGTCGACCCACCCAAGATTAAGGTCATGATGCAATGACAGGTTCTAAGCAGCCCATCTGGGATTTGGAGTTTCCTAGGTCTCACAGGGTAATATCGGAGATTTATCCAATATTGCAGTGCCTTTGACCTGCTTGACGAAGAAGAATGTGACTTTTCGGTAGGGGCCTGATTAGCAGCTGCCTTTTGATACTCTTAGGAAGAGTTTGTGTGAGGCCTCGATTCTCGCACCTCTCGAGGGACTGGATGATTTTCTGGTTTATTGTGATGCCTCTATTTCAGGTTTGGGAGTTGTCCTTATGCAGAGGGGTCATGGGATTGCTTACGCTTCAAGGCAGTTTAAGCCTCATAAGTAGAGTTATCTTGGGGGTTGAGGTCTTTTCCCTCAATATTTGGAGGCAATATCTATATCGGGTTAAGTGTACTACTTATACTAACCAGAAGAGTTTGAGGTAGTTGATGGATCAATCGAATTTGAATATGTGGCAATGGAGGTGGTTGGATGTGGTTAAGGACTATGATTGTGAGATTATGTACCACTTTGGGAAGGCCAATGTAGTGGCCGACGCTCTGAGCCATCAGGTAGTGGGTGGTCCTATCAAGGATATTTGTTGGAGAATGGTTATTACTTCATCTCTGTTGGATTTCATCAGAAAGGATCAGGTGGAGGCATTGAAAAAAGAGAATTGGAAATCCAAGCGAATAAGGTGTCGGATTCCATCATTTGTCATAGATAGCCGAGTGTTGTTGACTTAGTGCGGTAGATTCTGGGTTCCGACTACTAGTAGGGTGAGACAAACAATTATGGAGGAGTCTCATAAGTCAAAGTTCTCAATCCATCGGAGGGGCTATAAAGATTTATCGAGATCTGAAGTTGAGTTATTGGTGGCCCTATATGAAAAGGGAGATAGCATGGTTTGTCAAGTGGTGCCTGAATTTCAAGAAAGTCAAGGCCGAACATCAAACACCCCATGGAAATATACATTCGTTACCCTTTCCCATGTGGAAGTGGGAAGATTTTACCATGGATTTCATCACAAAACTGCCAACCAAGGCGCATGGAGTTGATTCTATATGGGTCATTGTGCATAGGTTGACCAAGAGTGCTCATATCATACTGATTTCTGAGAGAATATCTATTGAGAAGCTAGACAATATCTATACTCAGGAGGTGGTAGTTTGACTTGGAGTACCAGATTCAGTGGTTTCAAACCCTTGATGTTCGTTTTACTTCTAGGTTCTGGGGACATTCGATGTGGAGTTGGGTACTCAGTTGCATTTTAGTACAACATATCACCGCCATACCAACGGTCAGAACGAGTGAATGATTCAAACGCTCAAAGATATGCTTCGATCATGTGTTTTAGATTATGGAAGAAGTTGGGATACTTATCTCCCACTAGATGAGTTCTCAAACAATAATTGTAACGTCCCAAAAACACAGTCTGAAAATTTCGTTTAATTTAATGATAAAACCATAGTCAATAAACCTCATATAGAAAGCATAAGCAATGTATCTCAAAATATTATAACAACTGTCAAATATATCAGAGTATAAACATCCCAGGCTGAACAAATGGTGTGTGCACTGCAATCTTCCCGAGCTCCTCTTTTGAAAACTGAGTACCTGAAACCAAAACTGAAACTGTAAGCATGAAGCTTAGTGAGCTCCCCCAAACCACAACATACCATACAATAACATATAAACACATATTGGGCCTTGCCCACTGCATCGGAACGAAGCCTGGAAACTGCATCGGACCGAAGTCCGGAACTGACTGGGACCTTGTCCCCTGCATCGGACCGAAGTCCGGAAACTGCATCGGACCGAAGTCCGGTCCCCTGCATCGGACCGAAGTCCGGAACTGACTGGGACCTTGTCCCCTGCATCGGACCGAAGTCCGGAACTAACTACATCAGACCAAAGTCCGGAACTGACTGCGACCTTGTCCCCTGCATCGGACCAAAGTCCGGGACTAACTGCATCGGACCGAAGTCCGGAATTAACTGCATCGGACCGAAGTCCGGAACTAACTGCATCGGATCGAAGTCCGGAACTGACTGGGCATAGCATAGCATAGCAAAACACATATCAAATAGCATAACACACATGATCATAAACTCATATACTGCATACTACGTCAGGTCGTAGCCCATAACACTTAACACATAAATCCTGTCTGAGCCACGAAGGCATCAAACAAACTAACAACTGCATCGGACCCAAGTCCGGAAACTACTGCTACTAAACGGGCCGGCATTGTGGCCTTAGACCCGTTCCTACCGGAAGGAAACTCACCTCACACTGCTGAAGTCCCGTTGACACAATCCCACACTGCTGAAGTCCCGCAGACTCCACCCGAGCTGCTGGCTGACAGATTCCCGAACTGTCAACACCAAATAACACCCAATTAATAATTGGGTTCTAAC